CAAATAAAAATAAATATTTACTAAGATTTCTCATTTTACTATAGTTTTGTGTTGTTTCAAATACTTTTAAAATTAGTAGACTAATTCAATCGTGGATAACTTAAAAAATGATGTAGAACATAACTTGATAAAAAAAAATATACGTCTATCTAATGATTTCTCGTTTAATATATAGTTAGGAAAAAAAAGAGTAATCATCTTTCACATTTGATTTTTTTCTATCACATAATTTGATCAAATTCAAAACACTTTTTCTCATATAATTTTTGTTTATATATATCGTGAAGAAAAAATCCGTTGACTAGACGCGCACACAAATCAGAGCAATTGTGTTTTATTGCTGTGAACTGAAGTAACTCATTCAGGGTTTTTAGATAATTCCAAAACGAAAAAAATCGCAAAACGCCAAATAGTAGAAACTTACTAACAAAGAATCAAAAATCTAAAATAGAATTTTATCGTTTAAGAGAGAGCTCTAAGCACCAGCAGGTCCCTTGAGCTTCTTACTTATGGCTGCGATGTACTTCCCCTGATGAAATGCTTGCTCCATCTCTAACTCCGTTGGCTGTCTCGACCCGTCTCCAGCGAATGTTCCCGCCCCGTACGGGCTTCCACCTTTCACCTTCTCCATCTCAAACATACCGGCACCAAATGTGTACCCGCTCGGGACAAATATCATCCCGTGATGCACCAGCTGAGTAATGGCGGTTAAACTACAACATAACCCCGTTTTATCCGATTATCACAATATAGCAAGTGGACTATTTAACGAGTGGTTATTTGGATTTGAAAAAAGAAACTTACGCGGTGGTTTCTTGACCACCACCTTGAGACCCTGTGCTGTAGAAGATTCCGGCTGGCTTACCAGCGAGTTGCTGAGTTCTCCAAAGGCCACCGGTTGCATCCAAGAATGCCTTGAACTGAGCAGCCATCATACCAAACCTTGTTGGAAAACCAAAGACAAACCCATCAGCCTCAGCGAGCTCGTTGGGAGTGATAATAGGAGCATCATTCTTTGGCGGCGCACTCATTTTAGACAGCACTTCTTCTGGGAGCGTCTCAGGTACCTATCGAGAACAGATGCTAGCTCTATGCTTTAGTGTTCCTAATAATTGTTCACAGGTACATGTATTTATTCAAAGATAACAGAAACACTGGCAGCAGAAGATAGATGCAGGATCAACAATGGGAAAGCAAACAAGAGATACTAAAAGTATATAGGTAATGGTAAAAATACGCAGCTGGGAAATAATAAGTAGTCGGAGATACAAAGCATGAGAAAACGAATAGTGTCAAGAATTTGGGCAGCTACAAATGTATAAGGAAATCAAAATCTAGAGCATCTTATTCTTTCATTCGGAGAATAGAGAGCCAAGTAAACTTTCGTCTTGGTGAAATAAACTCAAGTGAAGCACACATTGTTCAAAGAAGAGAAGACAATAGGATATTCCAAAGAGACAATGCATGTTAAAAATAATGTAGCTCATCGGTTTCATTTACTGGCAGCTAAATGAAATTCCAGTGTATCAAAATCAAAGAAAGTATTGCCCTTTCTTTAAGATACCACCATAACTAGTTTGTAATCTCAACTCCTCTACATTTTCGAAGATTTCTAGTCAGTTCTAGCCCTTGAAACTGTCTCTCATTGTAACCTAGAGTCAACGAGGAAATTGACTGCGAAAAGCGAGAAAAGGATAAGGGAGCACATAAACAGCAGTAAGAAGGAAGCAGAGTCACCTGCCACAGTTTGGCTTCAACTCCTTCAACAGAAGCAGCACCATTCCTTATCTCTTGTGCTAATTTCTCCACATGACCGTACATGGAGTAGTACCTGTTACACTAAACCAATTTGTCAGTGGCCACTTACTGCATCTCCGATCAAACCCAGCACAAAAGTAAAGGCAAGAAACACCAAATCATTAATGTTCCACATACCCAAAGATTCTAATTGCAACTTAAAATTATAATATTCCGCACCAGATGAAAAAACTATCCAATCAGAGTCGCGAAAGCAAACAACAGTCATCAAATCTTCGGAAACATGTATTAAAACACAAAATCTTCGATTAAGAATGAAAAATCATACGACACTGATTAGCGAAAACTAAATCGAGTGATTTGGGAGAAATAAAACAGAGAAGCTTGACCGATCAATTACGGATGATCGCACATTTAGACGCAGTGTTAGAACAGAGAAGATGGTTTTTACATACACGATATAAACTTTGGTCGCCATTGAAGAAATGCCCTCTTTCTTTAAGAGAGCTTCTCTGGTTTTCTTCTAAATGATTAATTTGTTATGGACTGTGGAAGAAATTAACTATCGTGGATCTTATTCTCTTCGGAGAATTTCAAGGCAAAGCCCCCCAAATTCATCAAATTGTATTTCACTCCCTTTATTTAGTTTTCTTCCAAAACCCACTCGATTAGTAATTTTGAGATTGGATGCTCCTCGTCACTTCCTAAAACATAACAGTATGGATGCTAAAAGTAACACCAAAGTAATTTATATATGAAGATCATTATCTGAAATACTTCTCTTGGCTTCAAGAAATTATGAGACACATTCGTTATAAGGAGTGATTTTTATCTTAAAAAAAAAAAAAACGAGAAAATGATAGTAAAACCAGGAGAAACTAATGAGATTAGAGATACAACCAAGCGATATCCACCCGTTTTGTGACCCAATCGGATCCAATCCAGATCAAAAGCAAATTAAAAACCGAGAAAATCTCCAATTTAGACCAAACCCTACCAAATTTGATTTTCTCTATATCTCTCGATTTTCCTTCGTGATTTCAAAATGGTTCAAAAGACAAGGATAACTAGGATAACTAGGAAGGATTCGGATCGAAATCAAACGTTTGGTAAGTTGAAATCATGTTTTGATTTCGGATTTGTGTACACGGATGGTTTCGATTTGTTGTAGAACTCAAGAACCCTCGAAATCATGTGTTTTCTAAGTAATTTTCTTGAATTTACCCTAGATATTGTGCAATGATGAAGACAATGTTCCGGAAAGACAAGGACAAAAAGAGGAATTCGGAGGATGCTCCTCCACATACAGTTTCACCAGAACTAGTTCCACCGATAGGAAATAGGGCCGAATAAGCAACTTTGGTCAAAGATAAGGTCGAAAAAGAGGAAACAATTGTGGTAGAAGATAAGATCAAAGAAGAAGTTGAAGATAAGAAAGAAGAAGTTGAAGATAGAGGTTCTGGGAATGGAGAGGAGGAAGAAGATGACACTGAAAAAGAAAAAGATGCGATGGAGAGGATGAAAAAGATGCGATGGAGAGGATGAAAAAGATGGCCGAGAAGATGACAATGAAGAAGAAGAAGATAACAGAGAAGATAACAGTGAAGAGAAAGATGATGGCGATGAAGAAGAAGGAACTGACCATGAGTCGCAATCAACTGAGCCAATGGTATGTACATTAAGACTTTTTTCAATTTAGTAGAAATCGGGGGAAAACGGCCTTTTTGGACCAAAACTATTGCCATCGGGTCTTTTTGGATCTGATCTTTTAACATTGGCCAATTTAAACCTGAACCTCAAATTAATTCAAATTCGATACTCAAATATACGATTTTATTATTGATTTGGACCTTGACCAAGTTACCGTTAATCAACTTTAACGGAATAGTGACATGGACGACACGTAAACAAAATGAACAGCCTTTTTGGACCAGAACTATTGCCATCAGGTCTTTTTGGACCTGATTTTTTAACATTGGCCAATTTAAACCCGAACCTCAAATTAATTCAAATTATTTTTAAAAAAATTAATAAATTCACCTGATAATT